AAAAGTTCTTAAATTTGGGCTTGCTATTTCCTAAAGCTTCATGCTTGGATGAAGGCATGAGGAAAGGACAAAAGCAAAGCTTTAAGAAAACTCTGAATTACTTTTTTGGTCAACTCAGTACATCTGCAAATCATTCTAGAATAAAGAAATGCTTTTGTTTAACCTTACAGCACACACTGAGCCTCACTGAATAGCTTCACATCCAAGTGACTGAGTATTCAAGACAAAAAAAGTCAAGTTCCAAGGCCAGATTTTGTTCTGTATGTAACAACTCCAATATATTGGCATTTCAATTTGAAGTTTCCCTTTCTGATTTGTCTGGCATTATTCCTACTTTCAGACCACGGATTTGATGATTTCATTCACTGAACTAAAGAACTGCATGTAGTTTCATTTCTCACTGTATCATTTTAACAATGTTGCAGAAACTTCCCCTTCTTTAGGCATTTAAACACTTTATACATTCACAGATCAAGTTGAAGCAATCCTCTGGTATTGAGGGTCATAGAGTGACTTAAAAAAATTAATTTTGCAGTGTTATATTGTCTTCTCCTAATGAGTTAACAGAATTAAAAATATACTATAGTTCTACTTTAAATTTCCATTTATTGCCTATGACTGACTTTAGACAAACAGGCCTGGAGATGGGCTGCACTATGCAGCAATTACAAACAGCAGCACAGTTAAGCTTCCTACATACTACTGCACTCAAATTACTCCACTGCATTCTAGAAGGGCTTCTTGAAGAGCAGAGGGACAGCTATCTCCTCCCAAAAACTGGTCTGAAATGCAGACTAATGTGGCCGCAGAAAGTTTAGTGAGGGACCAACCATTAATCTCAAGGAAGTCAAAAGAGCCACCACACAGCAGCTCCTGACCATGACTGAACTGCACAGGTCTGGCATCAGCAGTTTACAATACATGACAGTACACACCCCTCAAGCCAGCCAATTCTCTAAATGCTCATTTTTAACAACTGTATCTGATACTTGCAGCTCATCTAGCAAGCAGGAACAGTTAAGGCAGAAGTATCATACATGTGTACCAAAAACTGGTCATCACAAGGAAACTTTAAAATCTGAATGCAGACAACAAAAGGAATGTCACTTTTCTTTAAACCTTTTTCCTAGAAGATGAATACTTTCGTGTCCTATAATTAGCCCTCACTGTGTAACACTCTAAAACCAAATAAGTTATAACCATAACACATTCTACTAAACTCTAAAAACTAAAACTCACTACTCACCCTCACTTTTCAAGCTGTTGTTTAAAAAGAAAAGTTGGAATCAAAATTGCAATCTACATTGTTTCTGAAATGGGTAATTCTGGGGAGGACAGCCCCAATCTGACAGTAATATGTGAGCAACTTTCACACTAAGACATGTACAACACTCTGTAACAGCAGCAGTTACCATCAAATACCCTGCCTGTTACAGGAGCTAGAACATTCTGTGTATTTGCTTAAATAAAGTTAAGAAATCTACACTTTTGGTCACATCTTAAAACACTGCAGAATACAGGGCATTTTTAAAAATAATATTTATACTTGCCCTGTCCTGTTGGGTAGTTTGATTGAAAAACAAAGATTAAAATGCAATAAAAATTTTCCCAATAAAAAAAGATTCTAACCAGACATTTAAATGTCTTTATAAGTATACAAGTGTACTATGGGATTTGGTCTGCTTTTCAGAAAAAAAGGAACCAAAAAAAGCCTCATTTAGTCCTAAAAGTTCCACTTCAACATGAATCTTTAAGTCAGCCTGAGGTACCTCCTCAACACATCACCACTCTTTTCCTCATCTTTGAATTTCTTCTAAGTAGCATTCCCAACCAAACACAGCTCCACACACATGTACTGGCAGAAACCAGACACTGAATTCAAGACTCCTTCAAATGATGAAGCTAAGTCTCCCAAGAAGGAATCCTGACTTATGTACATAAATCCTCTCAGTAAATGCCAGCTTTGCTTGTAGCATTAAAGCCAGATTACACCAGTGGTATGAACACAGTTATAAAGATAAAAATGTGCTTCTACCAGCAGGGGACAAGTACAAGGCACATTTATATGCCAAAATAATTGTGGTCACATTAGTAATTATACTGATAAAACTACACTGGTAAGAACCACAGCTACAGTCTTTAAAAACTTTTTGGGTCAGGGTTTGGCAATCAAGCAGCTTTTGACTGCTCAACCAAACATACATTAAGAGTTCCTCAAGACAACAAAACTAGCTCTATTCAGATGTGTCTCAACCATTTCTGGGGCCATTTTTAATTTAAGCTCCAACTAGTTTTGAGATGTAGTTGCTTCCCTTCCTCCAGGTAAGTTATGCTGTGCAAAGGGCTTCTTATGCAAAAGCCATAGATCAGCTTCTACCCCAAAACTCCTACGGCAAGAAACTATCATTTCCAGGCAGCAACAAGCCACAGTTACTTTTATAAATTTGATGGACTTTTTTCCCATGAAGTTATGATATTCAGTTT